CTCTATACCCTATGAAGTGATTGCCATATTTACGGATTGGGAAAACCTTGGTTTCTTGATCAAATATTAATCTTCCAATTGATTGTAAGTGTTAATAGGGTATGTGGTTGAATTAAATGGAAAGGGGAACTTCGTTCATTCCTAAATACTTTGAGGATAAGTGTTGGCAAGGCCAAGATATTGGAAGGGGAGTTTGGAGTCGCAAATCAATTTCAACAAGTTCCTCCTAGTCCAAGTGGAGATTAGTGGATCTTTTATACTATGCCAAGCCCAGTTGAATGTCTGTTGTGCTTGTTATAATACACCTTTACACTTTATCCACCACCCCACTACCAACACCAAAACCCCCAACACATTTCAACCGCCACAAGTACATCAACACAACCTTATTAAACTTCACCCACAACCTAGACCACCACCAAAATTTAGCTCACAAATCATATGCCTCAAGCACCTACCAAAAGAGAGACAATTCTCCCTCCTCCACTACCCATACCATCTCAAGGCTGTTTTGTAACTTGAAGCATTTTCAAGGAAAACTAACAAATGTCTATCAGAAAGTCTAAACAAGGGATATCTTGAGTCCAAATGGATAAACACAAGTCATTTACTTTGAAGTTTGATTCCCCCATATTGTAGATCATGTATAACTTGGTCTCACCATGAAAAGTTTTAGATAGCGCTGTTAAGCTGTTGATGAATTAGTAGACAAGCTATTCGGATGTATGTTAGTGGGGCTTAGGTGAAGGGACAAACAAATATAATCTATTAGACTTCAATGGTAAAACCAAAATTCTATCTTTATAACTCTCCTCACATACATTTAGATCAAATCAAGAGCCTACTGATTTCTAAGGTAAAATATAACGCAATTACCTCTTCGTGTATAAATGTATCAAGTTAAAGATCCTTCGTTTTATCCATTTAGATATTCAACTATATGCAGCCTCTCTGGAAGTAAAATGAAGCTGATTGACTGACATGTACGCGTTATCGAGAGAAATCTCTCTTTTCTTATTCCTCTAAGGGCATGGTTTTTTGAAATGTCCTGCTAGGAATGATTTCTCGACATGCTTCACCTACATATTACGGAGTATCATTTATTTTTCCTAGTGCTTTCATTCTCTGGTATGCTTCTGCTGACTGCCAACCACAAGGCACAATTAATGTAGTGCTTTTACATTTACATACAATCCTACTGCATTACCACTTCCATGGACATTGGGACTAACATATATACCGTTGCAGGGTATAGATTTTATTCGTATTGGAAGATATGAGGTTGTACACGAGTAAGTTCGAGAGAATGCTTATCAAGTTGGTTTCTGGTAACTTTGTCAAAAAGTTTGCTTCATGATTGGCCCACAGAATACTAATTTACTGCTGGACTTTCTCCTACAGTGATGGACACTCATGGTCTTGAAGAGATAAAGCAAAGGATAGAGCAAAGCAAAGTTGTTGCTGTTACTTATTTGGGGATAACTAGCCCATTGCTTTCAAACAAGAGATTTGATGTGTGTATTATGGATGAAGCCGGACGAACTACGTTGGCGGTACGTTTCTATAGTTTTTGTTGTAGTGCATTTGAACATTTTGGTCAATAGAGGTCGTGAATGAGGTTAAACTTGTCAAAGTTGCTATTGCTGATTGCAATTGTTCTATATATCCCAATTAATAATGTTTCTATTTTTTTGATAAGGTAAAGTTTTATTAATGAAGGTACCAAGATGGTACAATTACGCCAGACCAAAAACTGCCGTAATACTTATCAACTACAAATAGACTATCTCTCTAAGAAATCTATGTATTGTTCTAGATTTTCAATAACACTCCTTTTACAGCAAAAAAATTAAATAAATTCAAAAGACATCTATTTTTAATCCTGGATACATGCTGTCTTATCCCTTCAAAGCAAACTCTGTTTCTCTCCAACCATGTTGTCCATAAGACACAGGGGGATTGTTCTTTACACTGGCTGCTGACTTCTTGCCACTTGTTGATGTTGCCATGTCTCCAGCAGACTTTTTACATTTTGTGGCATAACCCGTTTGATACCATACAAACCAAGGAATAGCTCCCAACACTGTCTTGCCACTTTGCAATGAATGAGGCGATGATCGACTGTTTCTAATTCTTCTTCACACATACAACATCTATTAATTAAAATAGTTCCTCTCTTCTGTAGATTATCCTGATTTAAACAAGCTTCCTTTGCTGCCACCCACCCAAAACATGCTACTTTAACAGGAGCTTTTGATTTCCATATTGCTTTCCATGGCCAATCAAATTCATACCTCCGTTGTTGCTTCTGTAAAAGAGTATAACCTCTGCTAACTATGAATTTCCCATCATTACTTGCTGCCCAAATCATTGAATCTCTCCTATTGCCCTCCAAACTGACACTGCCCAGCAATTGCGTTAACTGGGCGAATTAATCTACTACCCAGTCATTAAGGCCCCTCCTGAAGATCAACTGCCAGCCATTACTTGAGTTAAAGCCTGCTACCTTCCCATTCTTGTCAGAGAAGCAGCGATATAAAACTGGAAATTTTGATTTGAGACTTTCATTCCCCATCGATACATCAATCCAGAATTGAATATTTTTACCTTCCCCAGCTTCAACTTTACAAACTGACTACAATCTTTCGATAGACTTCTGATAGTGCTCCAAAGTCTCCCTTTGGAAGAGGATTGGACTTCATGAGGATTCCAAAAATCCTTCCTGCCATATTTGACATCTGTGAATTGTTTCCATAACCTATTGCTTTCATCATTATATCTCCAAAGCCACTTAAATAATAGGCTTTTGTTGTGCAACCTTAAATTCCTTTCCCCCAAAACAATCTCTTTTGCTTTTACGTTTCTATGTTTTTAGAGCTAGTTATTTTTATGAACTACATTCGTCACCAGATGACAAGTCCTTACTTGAAAAACAAATGACAATATTAGATTTACAATCCAGGTATCATTCGGACCATTGACATTTGCATCAAAATTTGTTCTAGTTGGGAATCATTATCAATTACCACCACTCATCCAGGTAATCTTGATTCTCTCTGCGTTGAGCTCCAATGCTTGTGTAACTTGTGATACCAAAACTTCGAACTGTTTCCATGTTAGAGTGCAGAGGCTAGAGAAAATGGAATGGCAGTAAGCCTATTCTGCAGACTCTCAGAAGCTCATCCCCAAGCAATTTGTGCTTTGCAAAGCCAGGTATCTCCAAATTTCAATAAGATGTTTCTTTCCACCTCTGAAGTTCGTTTGGGTTAATATAGTTGCCACTACTATGCTACAACTTGCAGTACCGCATGTGTGCAGCCATAATGGAATTATCAAATGCCTTGATATATGGTCACAGATTGCGATGTGGTTCTTCTCAAGTAGAAAATGCCAAAATCAAGTACACAACATTGCCATCTGGACCTACTTGGATAAAGGAGGTAATAGTCAGTGATTACATTGCTTCCAAGTACAATGCTGCTTTATTTTAGTAATGATCCAAACATAAGAGGCCTGCCTCAGCTAGAAAAGGATGATCTTAGGATGGAAAATAGATGTCGCTTCCAAGTATGATACTACTTTATTCTATATATTCCAAACTATAGAGGCCTGCACCTTCTATAAAAAGATTGATGCCTGGATGGAAAATGCGCCTGGTGAAACTTGTCCATTCTTGGCCACTCATAAGTTTAAGTTAAGCGTTTGAGCTGCTGGTTCATTTCTGCATAGTTAATTCCGGCAATAAATGATGTACTTTCAAGGTTTTGCACCTCTCAAGTACAAAGAAGGGAGAAAAACAAAAGCACCCCGCTAAAGTTTTTCACAAAATTAGCGAAAGCGTTCTTCAAACTCACGTTAGAAGAATGTAAGATGAAAAGAAACCTCACCCATACGTTCTTCAATCCCGCAAGATTGCAAGAAGCGTTGAATAAAGGAAGAACAATGAAATAAAAAGTAAATCACGTTTTGGAAGCAATAGCTTAGAAAAACTAATCACCAATGTTTATTCTCAGCATATTAAGCCCTTTAAATAGGCCTTACAATGTGTAAAATTGGTAAGGTTAAGGAAAACTAATCCTAATTAAATTAGAATAAAATAAGACTAAGAAAACCTATCCTAACTAAAATAGGAAAAAGAATTCTAGTAGGAATGGGTTACCAACTAACAATCCTAGTTTGACTAGAACTACAAATATAATTCTACTAAAACAAAGATCAAATTACTAGGAAACAAGAAATAAGAAATCCCTATCTTTAAGGAAAAGAACCTAATCTTGAAAGGATTCTTGGACTTCTTCAATTTCTTGAAATTCTTGGGCCTCAATTGGACTAAGGCTAATTAGTGTAAGCATTTTAAATTCGTGGCCCAATTCTCCAAATCCATTGGCACCTTCATGAGCCCAATAAGCCTCCGTTGTTCTAGAAAACATGGCCTCCATATGTTCATCATATATCAAATATACACAAAGTTCTCTTCAACATAGATTCGTCTGCCAGCACGACAAATCGCCTTCAGGATGTTCAAGCAGTTCTTCTGTGTGCTCAGAGGTTGGGTCACGTAATGCCCGGCAGGGCAATTGCTAATAAAAGAACTTGAAGGGTTTAGGAGCAATGCATTAGCTGATTCAGTGAACAAACATCAGTGTCGGTTAATACTGCAGCTGATCAAATATGTCTCCAACCACTCGGAAAACAAGTGAGTAGAACGTCATTCTTTCCTCTTAAATGGTAATGTAGCTCACATGATGCCCAGAACTGATTTCCCTGTAAAATGCCTGAGATGAACGGAAAACTCTTCGTTGAAAGTTGAAACTCAAACTCCTCCAAAACCATTTGGCCTCTAGATTGCTGTTCAGAATCTCTCGTCCGTTTTGGTGATATAATGTGAGAGTTAACCTGAAAGGATTAATGTAGTTTATTTTATTAACTTTCGCAGATGGTATCCCCTCTGCTCCTCCGGGGGGAAGGTTTTGTGTTTAAATTAGCTTGATCTGCGTAAGCAAATGAGGGGATTTAGTTGGTTGTAAGATATGATTTATTTGAAAAACTTTATTAGCAAAGCTGTGAAACATTGTTGGATGAGACGTCTGTTTTTTTTCTCTTCTCCAAGGTGGGTTGCGGTTGGTGAAGCAAGAGGAGATTATCCATTTAGCCATCACAGGTTAACTGTTCAGTTTTATGAAGCAGCTGCTGCTCAGGATCGAAAGCTGGAAGGATTGGTTCACAAGGCTATTTTAGAGCTTTGGAGGCCTGATCCTAGTGAGCTAGCACTATTGCTGGCTAAACGAGTCGACTCAACTTTACTCAAGGTTCCTCCAAGTGCATATAATTTGACTGGCAGCATTGATCCTTGCTATGTTGAAGCATATCATTTAACTGATCCGAGTGATGGAAGGATTACTCTGCACTTAAAGGTCAAGATCTCTACTTCTCTTTATTGTTATAGTTGATCTTCGTTTCTTTTATGCTTTGCATCTTTGCAAATTGTAATCATGAAGAAAACATCTTTGTCCAAAGTCACACATTGATTAAGTGTATGGGCTATTATTTTGTTCATATGGTTTTGGACAATTCCTACTGTTTGAGCTAGCTTTTGTTATGAGTTAAGCCCAAGATCCATTTTCTTAACGTGGTATCAGAGTCGAATCCACCATGCTATTCTGCTATTTGTTGTCGGGCCACTCATGTTATGTTACTCTGTGCTCTATATGTCGAGCCCTGGGTGTGCAGGAGATGTTAAAATCGCACACCAGTCAAATGTAGGGCTGTAATCTCCTCGTGCGGTTTTGAATAATTCTCACCACTTGAACTAGTTTTCGGGATTGAGTTAGGCCAAAGGTCCACTTCCTTAACTAGCTTAATGGTTTTTATACAAAATTGGCTGCAACAGTGCCAATGAGAATATGTCTCCATTTTATCCTCTTTTGCTTGTGTAATCATAGTGGTCTGTTATTAATTTTTTACAAGTGGTAGCAATCCTATTAAAAATACGCTTGATTTTCTTTTCTAAAGAGTGCAAGCCTGTGTTTCGACGAAAAATGGTTGCAAGATTTTTTCCATAACAACTTTTTTAGTGTTCTGTAAATTTTTTTGAGTCTTATGGCACACAATCTGAAAAACTAGCATATTCCTTTAGTTTTAATCTTGTTACTGGTACCATTTCCGAAACCCGTAGAAGCTTTTTAGGACATCTAAAAATTTGCCAACTTTTCTCTATTTAAAAGTTCTGCAAATGGTGTTTAATGTGTTCATGCGAACTAAAACTCTTATGTACATAAGCCCCCATGCAGAAATAGCGGATTTCTATGTGTTGCCAAAGCGTGATGTTAAAGTTACATTTCTTCAGCTTTTAGCATAAAATCAGTTTTTGATCTATCAGGTTGTAAAATTTGGTTAAATACAAAATTGTTAAAGGAGTTTAAATAATGAGAGCATAGTGTATCAAATGGGCCATGAGCCGACCGGTTAGTTATGCGTTAATAATATATTTTGATGAAATATGGGTTGCGTTGTTTGAGTGGAACTATTGCTCAGGTGAATTACTATTTATTCGTAATTCTTGGAAAACTAAGAGGCAACATCTACTGACATTCATAATTTTGTAGGTTCTAAATTTGACTGAGATAGAACTTAATCGGGTGGATTTACGAGTTGGACTTTCTGGTGGATTATATTTCATGGATGGATCTCCTCAAGCAGTACGCCAGCTGCGCAACCTTAATTCACAGGTTAGACCTTGTCCTGAGACCGTCATGCTTATTTATCAAGTTCAGTTTCCTCCCTCATGGATGTGTTTCTCCTGCCGACAAAAGGCAAAACTACTTTGCTCATTGAACATGTTATATTTGTCCCCCTTCTAGATGCATCTTCTCCTCTAA